TCCATATGATTCTTGTAATACCACCAGAAATTTTAAATCGAGTTGGATATAATAAATTTGTGGATCTTTGGAGTATCCGGTATTTGAAATGAGCCTTTTTTTTTTTAGTAATTCTTATAATTTTCATAAGTTAATAAATTGCATTGACCTCATTTATATATGCGCTTACTAAATATTGATCAGATGAGCTTTATGCGAATGGAATTAAATTCTCGACTTAATTTTCTCAAATGAATATAGATTATGTGATTATGCACCGCCTCGTAATGTGCCACAACCGAGGAAAGAAATGGCTTACGCGTAGTTTCACGATCGCTACTGGAAAAACATTTCATCAGTGCGCTAAAACAGACTTACTGAATGGCTTTGTCGAGAACTTTCATGCATGCTCGTAGAACATTTGGAAGAGCGGTGGAAGTTGTACAAGCGGCGAACAGACTCAAGAAAAATGCTACAAAGAAACCTGATAGTGATGAGGAAGAACTACAGTGGCGATCATAATTGATGCAACAAAAAAAATTTTTCGTCGAATTGAAATATTTCGCGAAAATTATAATGTATCCTTTTTGTATTTTTAATAATTTTGCATTGTTTTAATATATTAAAATCTTAATAGACGTTATTATTTGCTATTTTTAGATAAATATGGAAATAGGACCTGCATCCTTTCTTGCAAAAATCAAATGGTCATACAAAATAAATAAGGTAAGTTTATTGTGCATTGTTTACATATCGTATAATGTTGCAACTTTTTAGACAACAAACTAAAATACAAAGATGTCTTTCTTGTGTGCTTAACTAAATCAAAGGTTTACCTATTTGCCATATTTTGATTAATTTGTTGAGAAACGTTAACATCTGAATCAATCCATACAAATATCTTGGACTCGGTCCAAAAATACTATATAAAAATGACAATTGGACTAATTTTTGTCGAATCCACCAGAATGCTTTTTTGGGCCACGTCATCATCTAATACAATTATTAACGTTAATAGGCGAAAAAAAAGTAATTTTTTAAATGGGTAAAACCAATCAAATTGCAAGCTTTTAAAGCATTTGGTTAGAATCAAAGTTAAGATCTACATTGCATCTAATTTCTGTATAGTAAAATTTCGCAAGGAACTACTTTTGATGGCACAGAAAAATTTTGCCGATCATTATGTGTTGATTATAACGTGCACGCATAGTGAATCGGAAAGTCATTTTGCCTAAGATAGAACTCAGAGAAAGCTACACGAAAATATTCCTTGCGAAATTCACGATGGTATTATTGTTGGGGAAGTTGAATTTCGTAACTTGATTATATGTACATGTACAGTGGTGTGCAAAAAAATGACAATTAATTTTTTGATTATAATGAATTGAATAAGTATTCAAATAATATAAGCATTTATATATATATTCTTTAATATCTACTTAAGATCATATAATAAAAAATCTTAAAATTTTTCATAAATTTGCATCTTATATTTAAAAATTCAGCCTGTAAAATTATTACAAAATCTATATATGATCCTTTATAATAAAAATATTAAATGTACAGCCAAAAAAAATAATTTAAATTATATTTTACTTTATTATGCAATAACAAAGCATTGAATTTTTATAAAAACTTAATAATATCTTCTTTATAATACAATAAACAATTTACTTAAAAATAATTTTAATAAGTTATTATATAATTAAGCTTTAATTAATAATTTAAAAAATTTTTTTGTATAAATTTTGCAAGCAGAATTTTTGAATATAAAATGTAAATTTATGAAAAATTTTATAAGATGTTTTGGTTTATGATCTCAAGTAAACTTGTTCTCTAGATATTAAAGAATATATATATATATATATATAAATGCTTATATTATTCAATTCGTTATAATCAAAAAACTAATTGTCATTTTTTTGCACATCACTGTATATGAAAAGATGTTCCCATATTTACATTGCATACGAACAGCTATTTAATAGAAAATAAAGAAAACAATTAGAAAAGGAAATTGCATTAAGTATGTGTGACTTGATGTAAAAATACATCAAACCATACATTTGTAATCACTCTATTTTTTTGTTTGGTGCTAGATATATAGCAATAAATTAACGATATGATAAGCAAAAAGAAAGATTGTACAAACCTCATTTTTTCATGCATGTGTCTGTGTTCTCTAAACAATTATAAAAAGCTAAAATTCAAGAAAAAATCACATAAACAATTGGAATTAAAGTATTTGCGAGCGTCAAGTGACGTTACACACTATGCTTTTTGGAAACACATTACTATTGTGTATTTATTCGTAGCTGGGTTTTTTGCTACCATAAAAACTTATTTCAAAGCTAAAATTAACTTTAATTGTATTGAAAAAAAGTCATGATTGCACCTTAAAATTGTTCGCTTTTTACCTCTTTTATAATTTTCTTTAAAGCACAAAATTACAACACAACTTCGCGTTATCGTCATTAGATCGTTTAAATTTATTTTCTATGGTTAACTTCTAATATTATAGTGAGGATTCATGAATTTCTTTTGCAAGACACCCAAAATTATTCAAAAGGAATCCATTGGAGATGCCTTCTAGTTTTCATGCACTCTTTTATTAGACTTTCAGTATCAAGCTGATAATCAAAACGATCATACAAGTTAATTCACTACAATTGTGAATTTGTAGTTTGATTTATGCAAAAAAATTGAAATGAACTAAAGATATAAATGTCATTTTATTAAAGTGATTTATCTTTCATTTGCTTTGTATGTTAGCGTACAAATTGACGTTTCTTTTAAATCTATATCACGCTCAATAACTGCTTATTGATTTTAAATGAAAATCTTAACTAGATGTGACTAAAAAATAAACTAGAAGAATTTCTGTTCATGATCTAATTGATTTTGTTTGTTCAACAGAAACACAAATCTTATACGTTTTCTTGTACATTTACATGATAAATGCCTATATCAATCAAGCTACACATATTTGTGATTAAATTGCAAATTCAAATATATCAATCTTAAAACATAACGAGAACAAAGTCAATAAAAATTGTTCATTTTCTTGAATATTATTATCTATGAATAATGGCAATATCTTATTATCTTTCAATCCCACTATTCATCATATGATCTTTAATCCAGAAAAGTTTCTTTGAAATATATTCTGGATCAGAACGAACATTTATCTTTGCCGTGCAGACCTTGTCAAGAAAATGAATCATTCTTCTAAAGACACAAATTTTTTAATAGAGTGTGGTGATGTTTTCAATTATACTAATTATGCTTATAATGCTTTTCTGTCTTCTGTTTTCTAACACACAATTTACGACTTAAGGTTCTCGAAATGATGGAATAACAGAATTAGGTTTAGCAACACACGGAATTGCTTTTAACCTAAGTCCTGATTCATAGCGTTTTTATAGAAATGTTTCGCTCAAGCAACATCTACGTCAGGCTATATGCGTAAAATTGTAAACACAACTAAAGATTTGTTTCAAGAAGCAAGAAACATACTGGAACAAACTTGGCTCTGGAAATTGAATTGTGGAATGGATGACGCGTTTCACTACTGACCTTATACTGAAAACTACAACCGGAAAAGGATTTCATGCTTTAGCAATTTATTATAATTCACTTGTTCCAAAAGATAAACAGCTTAAGTTTAAAGGAATCTCCGTGAAAGAAGCAGAAAATTTCGTCGATAAAACGAAGACATGGACGTGGCTAATCCAAATATTTTATTTTTCCACATGTAATAAGATATTATCTTTCTGGATTCCGTTATTACACGAAGAAATATTTTGAAGAAATAAAAGAGTTTGATAAGAAATTCGATGAAATAATTGATGAATAATGACAAGAGATTAAGAAGTTACCAATCGAAACACCATTACCGCATGATATTCTGACAAGATCGTTAATAATTAATATAATAAGTGATGAAGATTATACAACTGAAAATATGGAAGGATTAAAACCCTTAACAAATGAGCAAATGGGAGTAATCTTGTTAAAATTATAATTGGTGGAATCAGTATACTTTAAATTCTTTGTTTCACTAATTAATTAATTAATTAAATGATAAAAATTATTATTATGTATATGTGCATGTATAACGATAACTATTTATCTCTCGTTTTTTTCTATTATTTCAACAAATTCACGCATTTATCCAGTAAACTCAAAGATGAGATCTGCTATGTGTTATCAAGAGAATAGTGATGAATGTTTAGTTCACAATACTCAAGTAAATGTCGATGTTGTCAAGAAAATTATTCCTGCGATGACTGTTTCGAATATCACAAACGAAGAATTGACTAGCGAGATAAAGATATCAACAATCTAATAAAAAATGCAACAAAATTGATAAATATTTCGAATGTGATTCCTTTTGAAAATTTACCAACTTTGAATATCTTGCAAAAGGAGATTTTAGCTCAATTTCTAATAGAACCCGGTTGGATGGAACAACTATAGATGGGATTATGAATGAAATGGATTTAACGAGTAGAGAGCATGAATTGTGTTAAAATTATTATATAATTCAACGCGAATTACGAAAGAATTTATAACGAAGTAAAAATGATCATTTTTAAAGTGAAAGTTAGTTTTTTTTTCTGATACATCAAATTTTTTCAAAAATAGATTCAGACTGCTCTTAAATGCAGCTGGTGTTATTACGGAATAATCCAACAGTGATGGATTATGAAGAACCTTATATGTAATATCCTAAATAAAATTCAGTCTTGTGAGGATTTTTTTGCATGTTGCGAAGCGTTCTATCAATAGACGCCATAAGGTAATTCCAACTTCGAATAATTGGAAGAAATGACGTGGAAGCAAAAATCAAATCATTTATTTTCCGCTACCGGGATCTGAAAAAATTCACGAAGAAAAGGTTCTATGTCGTGAATTTTCATCTGGATAATAATGCGTGAACGTCCGCAAATTGATTTTGGACTTGGCATTTCAACAAATATAGAAAATTCTAAGCAAGAAATTTGTGGAATACTTCCTTATAGAAATGCTAAATGGAAAGTCATAGACTACTGCCTACTGCTTGTTTATAGCTTTGGAATGGCTGTATACAAAATTACAGCAGGTGAACGACCATTTTGTGAACAAAGCCATGGTATAATTTTCATATAGATATGTATAAAGGAGTACCACCTACGATAGTTCCGAATTGTACAAATCTATTATGATCCTGTTCCAGAAAAGAGACCAAATGCTAAGGTTGACTCACCTACAACAAAATGACGCGCGTCAAAAAGGTTACTTGGGAGTAACGACCCAGATGGTTTCAGCTAACCAAAAATTATAAAGTTCAAATCGAAGGTTGGACTTTGTTGCTGCCAACAATATCATTATGTATTGTTTTGAGGAAGGTCATTCACTACTCGTACAGAAGGTTTGCAGGCAAGAATTCATTTTTATTTATTTGATTAGAGCATAATATCTAAAGGCTGAACATCCCGCCTTTATATACAACTTGATTAATATTCTATTTCTGCACTATCCTACTTTTACAGTATAGTTCTTTGGACAATAAGATCGAACACGATATAAAATTAACAAGAGAATATGGGGAAATATGGACCGCAAAAACAACGATATAGTTAGCTAGACATGACCAGAAATGTATGTCTCGAAAGAAATTAA